GAGCTGGAAAACGGCAACAAGTCCTAAGTGTCTCTAAAAGAGTTTTTGTTTTGTGCTTTTGAATTTATATTATTATTGCTTTTTTCTGCCTGAGATGCTGCAGCTGTACAGTGTTGATGGTTTTGCACTGGTCCAGACCAGAGCAGAGAGGATTCATGGTTTTACACTGGTCCAGACCAGAGCAGAGAGGATTCATGGTCCGAACCAAATGGATCAGGTGAAAATCCACTGGAGGAATGCTAACTTTTGGAAAAATGCTAACAAAGCATTCAGCATTTTACTTTGGACCAGAGCAGAGAAAATGGTCTGAACAAAGATCCACTTCTGCTGCTGTGACCTGAAGGGCTGTTGCTGATTATTGCTATTTTTAACTTTTTAGAATGATCCATTTGGTTTGTATTTTTGCTGCTACTGCACACCTGAATTTCTCCTACAGGGATCAATAAAGTATCTATCTATCTAAAGTATCTATCTCACTATTTATTTGAACATGGCCAGTGTAGAAGCCTGTCTCACATTTACAGAAAGACTGTTCCAGGTTCTAGCAACAGAAATGTGAAATCCTGCCTTCACTTTTTTACTCCTGACTCTAAGCACCACTTAAATTCAGATGTTGATGCTCTGCTGCTGTACAGGTTTTTAGTGGTAGAGGAAACCGTAGCACCCGGAGCGAAACAGCTAATCATCACCATGCCAACCAAAACTTGATCAAACAAATCAACCCTCCACACATGTTTAAAGAGTGATACAACCAAAGTAAGAATAGTTGCATTTTGTATACAAATGAATAGTAAAGCAAGTTTTTCTTCTTTCTCACTACGATAAATCCCTAGTGTGATGTCATTCCTTTTATATTCTCCTCTAATGAAACTCTACATTAAAACGACATTCCAGGCCGTTGTATAAGCATAGACTGTATATATTAACGAACGAGTCACACCTATCTCCGCCGTTCTAACTAATGGGCCAAAAATTGGGCTGTACTGGAGTGATTCAAAATGGCCGCGGGGGCTGGAAAATTGTGAAAAAAACGCATCTGTGCATGCGTCAGCTGCACGAGCCCCATTCATTTAAACGAGTGACTTCAAAAATCCACAGCGACTAAACTAGACTGGTCCAAAACACCCCCCTCAGCATTGACACACATGTGGAACGGAGCTTTGGGCCAAGAGCGACTTTTGGTCCATCCTGTAAAGGCGTTTTTGAGAGGGTTAGCATTGGCTTATTCTTATTCCGGGTCCACCCCCACAGGCCCGGGGTGGTATTGCAGCATGTCAGCGCACGTTATTTGGGCCACTTTTTAGCTGGGACCCGCCCCCACTGGGTCTAATTGACGTCACATTGATATTTCACATGTGCTTCTTCTGCTTCTTCTGTTTCTGCTTCTTCTGTGGCTGAATATGGTTAAATCCAAACTGGAACAGTGCAAACTCATCACGGTGGATGCGGAGACGGCGCCTCGGCCTCTGGATAATACAGTGGCTTTATATAAGAGCACATGTTAATTCGGTGAGCTGCATATTGATGAGAGGAGCATGAATAGTGCATGTGGGATGTGCATTTGAACCGGCTCTAAATTAAACAAATGTCTCTAATGAGGCTGGTGTGCGGCCTGTCAGTCCCCATCAGCGTTATTCCCAGCGTTAAAACCAGGAAGCGGCTTTGAAGTCGACGAGAGATTATATTAAGTGATGCATTAGAGAGGCTACAAATGAAACAAATACATAAACTGTTGTTGTCGACAAGGAGATGTTTCATTAATACAAGAGAACATGGACATGGGTTCAGTCTGAGAGGAGAAAGCTGGTTTTATTTATTTGAAAGGAAAGTGTGTGTAAGAATCAGATTTAGAATTATTATTGCTATTGTAGGCAAGGCAAGGCAAGTTTATCTGTATAGCGCAATTCATACACAAGGCAACTCAAAGTGTTGAACAAAAGAATACAGCATTAAAATCATAAAAAAATCACAGTACATTAAAAAGAGAGATAAAAATATAAAATCCCTCAGTTGTATGCACAGCTAAACAGAACTGTCTTTAACCTGGTTTTAAACATTGTCAGAGAGGAGGCCTGTCTCACATCTTCAGGAAGACTGTTCCAGATTTTAGCAGCATGAATCTGAAAAGCAGCCTCCCCATGTTTAGTTCTGACTCTGGACACTAACAGGAGACCAGTCCCTGTGCTCCTGCTGGGACTCTGAGGAGCACAGGGACTGGGCTCCTGCTGGGACTCTGAGGAGCACAGGGACTGGGCTCCTGCTGGTGCCAAGAGTCAGCACTAAACATGGGGAGGCGGCGTTTCATATTTACGCAGCTAAAATCTGGAAAAAAAAATCTTGAAATTGTCGGACAGGCTTCTACTCTGACCCAGGTGCTTACAACTGAAGGATCGTATCTGTGCAATACAAATAAACTCACCTTGCCTTGAAACTACAACGTATAGGATAAAAACAACATCTCCAGACGTATGGGAACTTTGTGTGTTTAAAAGAAAATGGCTTGGTTATGACTGCGTTGTTTGTGTCTTTAATCCAAAAATAGATTGGCCCCAGATCTGTAGTTTATCATAATGCAAATACTTGTTTCCCGGTGCACTCCGAGATTGCACTTTTGTTTACCTTCAGCAGAATACATCTTCATAACAGTGTTTACGTCCTTTGCACACGGCCCCATCAGCTCCTCCACCTCGTTTCCCCTCGCCCTGGCTCCCGTGGGGGCGGGAAATGCCTCGGTGAAATATTAAACATCCAAAATGGCGCTTTCACATCACGTTTATACTAAAGGAGACGTATGCTTGTTCTTCTCTGAGCCGCGGAGGGCGACTTTCCGTAACGTTGCACCAGCACTAAGGAGCTTTAGGATAAGAACATCTCCTTCAGGTCTCTACGTCTGTCTCCATACGGCTAAAAATTATAGGAAAATTACAAAAAAATCAGGTAATAATTGCTTGAATAGAGTGGTTTTTATCCTAATTTGAGCACATTCTGACTATGTTTATACAATTTAGTCTCATTTCTGAATATTGTAAAGCGCTTCGGGTGACCTTGGTCTGTCAAAATGCGCCGTATGAATAAATATTACTTACTTACTTATTTCTAAAACTGTTTCTCATTCCAAGAGAGACATTTCTTGTATCTTTTTTAAAACATGATCATTTTTGCTTTGTCCCGTTGACAAATCTGATTTTAAGGCTCAGTCAGAATGTGCTCAAATTAAGATAGATTTTGCCAAATTTGCGCAATTCACATTGTTCAGTGTAAAATGTAAATCCTTTCCAATTCCATTACTGGTTTATCTGTACATAAGTCATTTTCTCAGCTTTAAAAGAGAAGTCAGTTTTTCACTAGTGCTTTGTAAACGCACTCGTGTGAAAGTCAGAGCTGTCAGACCTCTGAAGCTAAGCAGGACAGGGCCTGGTTAGTACTGTGATGGGAGACCTCTGGGAATGCCATGTGGTGCCTCAGTGGGGCGGCTGAGGCTGTAAAGTGCCAAACTGTTGTTGTGTCCTTAGGCAAGACACTTCACCCACATTAGAATGAGTCTGGTGTGTGTGTGAATGGTTGTTGGTGGTCGGGGAGGCTGGTGGCATAAACTGGTTGCCTTGTTTATGTCAGTGTGCCCCAGGGCAGCTGTGGCTACAGTAGTAGTTTATCACCACCGTGTATAATGATTAATGACATGTGCAGCATTTTAAAAAGCGCTGTATCAAACTGCCGTGTTCTTATTGACATGATAATAATAGTAAGTTTTAGGATATTCATTAATTATAGAAATATTGTCATCCCAAGTAAAACGAGACTTTAAAACAAAACAAATACAACACTGGACCGTCTGTAAGAGCTGTACGTGTCTGAGTGTGTGCAGAGACTGAACGGCTGTAAGTTTCTCCTGCGTCTCTCTCAAAGGTCAGCCTGGCGTCGAAGCCCGCGGCGCCGCTCTGTGTGTCTGCGTTCACATGTGGCGTAGAGTTTATGGATTACCTGTCAGCCGCAAAGGCCCTTTATCAATATCCCTGACTATCCCTGACTGCGGCGCTAATGTCAGCTCAGAGCAGCTCACTGCAGCTCAGTGCAGCTCAGAGCAGCTCACTGCAGCTCACTGCAGCTCACTGTAGCTCACTGCAGCTCAGTGCAGCTCACTGCAGCTCACAGCAGCTCAGTGCAGCTCACAGCAGCTCAGTGCAGCTCAGGGCAGCTCACTGCAGCTCAGTGCAGCTCACTGCAGCTCACTGCAGCTCAGAGCAGCTCACTGCAGCTCACAGCAGCTCAGTGCAGCTCACTGCAGCTCAGTGCAGCTCACTGCAGCTCACTGCAGCTCAGAGCAGCTCACTGCAGCTTACTGCAGCTCACAGCAGCTCACTGCAGCTCACAGCAGCTCACTGCAGCTCACTGCAGCTCACTGCAGCTCACAGCAGCTCAGAGCAGCTCACTGCAGCTCACAGCAGCTCACAGCAGCTCACTGCAGCTCACAGCAGCTCACTGCAGCTCACTGCAGCTCACTGCAGCTCACAGCAGCTCAGAGCAGCTCACAGCAGCTCACAGCAGCTCACTGCAGCTCACAGCAGCTCACTGCAGCTCACTGCAGCTCACTGCAGCTCACAGCAGCTCAGTGCAGCTCACTGCAGCTCACTGCAGCTCAGAGCAGCTCACTGCAGCTTACTGCAGCTCACAGCAGCTCACTGCAGCTCACTGCAGCTCACAGCAGCTCACAGCAGCTCACTGCAGCTCACAGCAGCTCACTGCAGCTCACAGCAGCTCACTGCAGCTCACAGCAGCTCAGAGCAGCTCACTGCAGCTCACAGCAGCTCACTGCAGCTAAATGAATGTGGCTGATGCAGCTAACACATGCACAAATGCACTTCCTCACATTTCCTGCAGAAAGGGCTGCCCGCAGCCATTTTGAAAAAGCCCCAAAGAAGCCAAACGCACATTAGTTTCAACAGCGGAGGTAGGCGCAACTATAGACGTGACTATAGACGTGACTATAAACGTGACTATAGACGTGACTATAGACGTGACTATAGACGTGACTATAGACGTGACTATAGACGTGACTACAGACGTGACTACAGACGTGACTACAGACGTGACTATAGACGTGACTATAGACGTGACTACAGGCGTGACTATAGACGTGACTATAGACGTGACTACAGACGTGACTACAGACGTGACTATAGACGTGACTATAGACGTGACTACAGGCGTGACTATAGACGTGACTATAGACGTGACTATAGACGTGACTACACACGTGACTATAGACGTGACTATAGACGTGGACTATAAACGTGACGTGACTATAGACGTGACTACAGACGTGACTACACACGTGACTATAGACGTGACTATAGACGTGACTATAGACGTGACTATAGACGTGACGTGAATATAGACGTGACTATAGACGTGACTATAGACGTGACTATAGACGTGACTATAGACGTGACTATAGACGTGACTATAGACGTGACTACAGACGTGACTATAGACGTGACTACAGACGTGACTATAGACGTGACTATAGACGTGACTACAGACGTGACTACAGACGTGACTATAGACGTGACTATAGACGTGACTACAGGCGTGACTATAGACGTGACTATAGACGTGACTATAGACGTGACATAGACGTGACTATAGACGTGACTACAGACGTGACTACAGACGTGACTATAGACGTGACTATAGACGTGACATAGACGTGACTACAGTCGTGACTATAGACGTGACGTGACTATAGACGTGACTACAGACGTGACTATAGACGTGACTACAGACGTGACTACAGACGTGACTATAGACGTGACTACATACGTGACTATAGACGTGACTATAGATGTGACTACAGACGTGACTATAGACGTGACTACAGACGTGACTATAGACGTGACTATAGACGTGACTACAGACGTGACTATAGACGTGACTATAGACGTGACTATAGACGTGACGTGACTATAGACGTGACATAGACGTGACTATAGACGTGACTACAGACGTGACTACACACGAGACTATAGACGTGACTATAGACGTGACGTGACTATAGACGTGACTATAGACGTGACGTGACTATAGACGTGACTACAGACGTGACTACAGACGTGACTATAGACGTGACTATAGACGTGACTATAGACGTGACTACAGACGTGACTATAGACGTGACGTGACTATAGACGTGACTACAGACGTGACTATAGACGTGACGTGACTATAGACGTGACGTGACTATAGACGTGACGTGACTATAGACGTGACTACAGACGTGACTATAGACGTGACTATAGACGTGACTATAGACGTGACATAGACGTGACTATAGACGTGACTACAGACGTGACTACAGACGTGACTATAGACGTGACTATAGACGTGACTACACACGTGACTATAGACGTGACTATAGACGTGACTATAAACGTGACGTGACTATAGACGTGACTACAGACGTGACTACACACGTGACTATAGACGTGACTATAGACGTGACTATAGACGTGACTATAGACGTGACGTGAATATAGACGTGACTATAGACGTGACTATAGACGTGACTATAGACGTGACTATAGACGTGACTATAGACGTGACTATAGACGTGACTACAGACGTGACTATAGACGTGACTACAGACGTGACTATAGACGTGACTATAGACGTGACTACAGACGTGACTACAGACGTGACTATAGACGTGACTATAGACGTGACTACAGGCGTGACTATAGACGTGACTATAGACGTGACTATAGACGTGACATAGACGTGACTATAGACGTGACTACAGACGTGACTACAGACGTGACTATAGACGTGACTATAGACGTGACATAGACGTGACTACAGTCGTGACTATAGACGTGACGTGACTATAGACGTGACTACAGACGTGACTATAGACGTGACTACAGACGTGACTACAGACGTGACTATAGACGTGACTACATACGTGACTATAGACGTGACTATAGACGTGACTACAGACGTGACTATAGACGTGACTACAGACGTGACTATAGACGTGACTATAGACGTGACTACAGACGTGACTATAGACGTGACTATAGACGTGACTATAGACGTGACGTGACTATAGACGTGACATAGACGTGACTATAGACGTGACTACAGACGTGACTACACACGAGACTATAGACGTGACTATAGACGTGACGTGACTATAGACGTGACTATAGACGTGACGTGACTACAGACGTGACTACAGACGTGACTATAGACGTGACGTGACTATAGACGTGACGTGACTATAGACGTGACGTGACTATAGACGTGACTACAGACGTGACTATAGACGTGACTATAGACGTGACTATAGACGTGACATAGACGTGACTATAGACGTGACTACAGACGTGACTACAGACGTGACTATAGACGTGACTATAGACGTGACATAGACGTGACTATAGACGTGACGTGACTATAGATGTGACTATAGACGTGACTACAGACGTGACTATAGACGTGACTATAGACGTGACTACAGACGTGACATAGACGTGACTATAGACGTGACGTGACTATAGATGTGACTATAGACGTGACTATAGACGTGACTATAGACGTGACTACAGACGTGACATAGACGTGACTATAGACGTGACTATAGACGTGACGTGACTATAGATGTGACTATAGACGTGACTACAGACGTGACTATAGACGTGACGTGACTATAGACGTGACTATAGACGTGACTATAGACGTGACATAGGCGTGACTATAGACGTGACTACAGACGTGACTATAGACGTGACTATAGACGTGACTATAGACGTGACATAGACGTGACTATAGATGTGACTATAGACGTGACTATAGACGTGACTATAGACGTGACGTGACTATAGACGTGACTATAGACGTGACTATAGACGTGACATAGACGTGACTATAGACGTGACTATAGACGTGAATATAGACGTGACTATAGACGTGACTATAGACGTGACATAGACGTGACTATAGACGTGACTATAGACGTGACTACAGACGTGACTGTTAATGTGTACAGTCTACGGTGAAAACCAGTGAGAGAGAGGAACTGCAGTAGAATTTTGTAGTTTTTGATATTTGTGGATTGAAAGTCAGGTACCCCAGCTTTAGTACAGGACATTCTGACTGTACTTCTGAGCATTTCGCTACATAAATAAAAAAGCACATTTCTACTTTCTAAATCCTCATCACACAGACCGATTTCACAACATGATTTATTATTTTTGTATCCTTATTATATAGTATTAACAATCCATTCAACGTAAAATGAGACATCACATATTCAAACATGTGGATAGAATGGGGGCAAAGCTGAAGGGGGCTGTGGGGGGGAGGGGGCAGGATGGGGGAGGAAGCCCAAAGCCCCTGTCTGCAGGCCCTGGCTCAGACTGTGACCACTGCAGAGAAACTGGAACACACCGGATTTACCGTCTTTTAATGGATAATGACCATAATCTCTTGTTTATCTGCTGGCCTGTATTCACCGCAGTCCCAGATCCACTGGTCCATATGTGGAATATGGACCAGAGAGATGCTCGCAGATGCAGAGGACAGTGACGACCCACGACATTTATGGACTTTTAACATTTATGACCAGTGCTCATCCCGCTCCTATGTGTTTGTTATTATTGTATTTCCTGTTCTCAAATTGTTCTCTCTCTGGTCGCTCTCTGGTCTCTCTCTGGTCTCTCTCTGGACTCTCTCTGGTCTCTCTCTGGTCTCTCTCTGGTCTCTCTCTGGACTCTCTCTGGTCTCTCTCTGGTCTCTCTCTGGTCTCTCTCTGGTCTCTCTGGTCTCTCTCTGACTTCTCTTTCTGGTCTCTCTCTGGTCTCTCTCTGGTCTCTCTGGTCTCTCTCTGACTTCTCTTTCTGGGCTCTCTCTGGTCTCTCTCTGGTCTCTCTCTGGTCTCTCTCTGGTCTCTCTCTGGTCTCTCTCTGGTCTCTCTCTGGTCTCTCTCTGGTCTCTCCCTGGTCTCTCTCTGGTCTCTCTCTGGTCTCTCCCTGGTCTCTCTCTGGTCTCTCTCTGGTCTCTCTCTGGTCCCTCTCTGGTCTCTCTCTGGTCTCTCTCTGGTCTCTCTGGTCTCTCTCTGACTTCTCTCTCTGGTCTCTCTCTGACTTCTCTTTCTGGGCTCTCTCTGGGCTCTCTCTGGGCTCTCTCTGGTCTCTCTCTGGTCTCTCTCTGGTCTCTCTCTGGTCTCTCTCTGGTCTCTCTCTCTGGGCTCTCTCTGGGCTCTCTCTGGTCTCTCTCTGGTCTCTCTCTGGTCTCTCTCTGGTCTCTCTCTGGTCCCTCTCTGGTCTCTCTCTGGTCTCTCTCTGGTCCCTCTCTGGGCTCTCTGTCCCTGGTCTCTTAGATTCAGATTCAGATAAATGTATTTGCCATTTGCAGTAAAACCACATTGGGATACATTTGTAAAAGTCCTCTGAAGGCTGAGGCTGACTCTGAATCTCTCTGGTCTCTCTCTTCTTGTAAAGCGCTTTGGGTGACCTTGGTCTGTAAAATGTGCTATATAAATAAACATTACTTACTCTCTCACTCTGGTCTCTTTCTCTGGTCTCTCTCTGCTCTTTCTAGTCCCTTTCTAGTCTCTATCTCTCTGACTTCTCTCTCTGGTCTCTCTCTCAGGTCTCTCTCTCTGGTCTCTCTCTCTGGTCTCTCTCTGGTCTCTCTCTCTGGTCTCTCTCTGGTCTCTCTCTCTCTGGGCTCTTTCTGGGCTCTCTCAGGTCTTTCTCTCTGGTCTCTCTCTCTCTGGTCTCTCTCAGGTCTCTCTCTGGTCTCTCTCTCTAGTCTCTCTCAGGTCTTTCTCTCTGGTCTCTCTCTCTATAAATATAACAAACAAGATGGAGCAAAAGAAATCTCTCTTTTGAAAGCAAGATTCTAAACTGGTGTGCTTCTGTCTCTGTCCTTGATCGTCCGGTGACACACAAACTTGTCACAGATTGCGCTGCATTCGAGTCACAGAGAAAGAAGGAAACTCGTAAACGTTTTGACCTTGAGCAGAACTGAACAATAGGTTGCGGTGGTTAATAGCTCTCCTCCGTTCGCTGGAAAATATTCATTTAAAAAGAGACATTATTTTTAGCAAGTCCCTAAAGTCCAAGGTCCAAACCTCAATCAGAGCAGGAGCTACACTGCAAAAAGTGAGAAAAAAGAAGTCAAAAATGGCTACAATCTGGCTAAAAATGTCTTGATTATAGCACATTTTTGACGGCCTACAAGCAAAATAATCTTGTTTTAAAATGATCGAGATGTCTCCCTTGGAATGACACAAAAATGCGGTAGTTTTTGAAATAAGACAAAATGACATAAATAATACAAAGTACTCACAGTAACTGCACTCACTGACTACTATAACTCACCTGATCTATTGTACGGGTTTTTAGTGGTATGAGAAACGGGAGCACCTGGAGGAAACATACACGAGCACAAGGAGAACATGCAAACTCCACTTCTTGCTGTGAAGGGCAAGCGCTAAACACTGCACCGCCCAAAGTCATAAACATCAAGTGCATCAAGTCTATTGTGTTTTAAGTAAGTAATTCCAACAAACTTTAAACTTTTGTTCAGAAAATTGCACCATGACTGAGACTTTCCAAACTTCTATCACCAGAAATATAATCATACATTGTTTTTTTAAAAGCACAGAATGCTTCACATGTCATTATTCTTTCACTCTATACACAGCAGTGATAAACTACTATTATAGCCACAGCTGCCCTGGGGCAAACTGACAGAAGCGAGGCAACCACAATGTGCAAACGGCCTCTCCGACCACCACCAACCATTCACACACACACTTTAGCACTTTACACCCGCCTCACTGTGGCACCTGCTGTTCCCAGGTCTCCCATCACAGTACTACCCAGGCCCTGCCCTGCACAGCTCCAGAGGTCTGACGCAATCTGGCTTTCAACTGTATTTCTTTTTCAATTATAAAACAAAATACTAATATTCTTCGGTGTGTTTTTCACCACAAACGTTCAGTCTGCAGGCGCACTTATGGTCCTGTGTGGGGAAGGACCATGTGTGTCTTTTCCACTGATGGTGCGGAGTGTTTTGTTGATGGTGTATTTGTAGAAGTAAATGCCGAGTGTGATTTGGATTACATTTCCCTGTGCATTTGTCTCTCGTTAATTACACAAAGCAGCAACTAAGACTTTAATCTGAGCAGATACGACCTCAGAGTGGATCATCCTTTAACTCTGTTACTCACACACTCACCGTCAGGGTTCAAGCTACTGCTGCCTACGGTCTCCCTCTGGTCTCCCTCTGGTCTCTCTCTGGTCTCCCTCTGGTCTCTCTCTGGTCTCTCTCTCTGGTCTCTCTCTGGTCTCTCTCTCTGGTCTCTCTCTCTGGTCTCTCTCTCTAGTCTCTCTCTCTGGTCTCTCTCTCTAGTCTCTCTCTGGTCTCTCTCTGGTCTCTCTCTCTGGTCTCTCTCTCTAGTCTCCCTCTGGTCTCCCTCTGGTCTCTCTCTGGTCTCTCTCTAGTCTCTCTCTGGTCTCTCTCTGGTTTCTCTCTGGTCTCTCTCTGGTCTCTCTCTGGTCTCTCTCTAGTCTCTCTCTAATCTCTCTTTAGTCTCCCTCTGGTCTCCCTCTGGTCTCTCTCTGGTCTCTCTCTAGTCTCTCTCTGGTCTCTCTCTGGTTTATCTTGGTCTCTCTGGTCTCTCTCTGGTCTCTCTCTGATCTCTCTCTGATCTTTCTCTATTCTGGTCTTTCTCTGCATGGTCTCTCTCTGGTCTATTGTCTCTCTCTGGTTCTTTCTCTCTCTGCTCTCTCTGGTCTCTCTCTCTCTCTGGTATCTTCTTGTCTATTTCTGGTCTTCTCTGCTGGTCTCTCTGGTCTTCTCTGGTTTCTTCTGATCTGTCTCTGGTCTATTTCTGGTCTTTCTCTGCATGGTCTCATTCTCTAGTCTCTCTCTCACTGGTCTCTCGCTGGTGTCCCTCTCTCTGATCTCTTTCTGGTACCACTCTCTTTTCTCTTTCTCACTGGTCTCTCACTGGTGTCTCTATCTCTGGTCTCTATTTCTGATCTCTCTCTTTGGTCTCTCTCTCTAGTCTCTCTCAATGATCACTCGCTG